TTCTTTACATTTTATGTTAATGGCATAGACGTCACTTTTAAAACCACTGCGAAAAGCTTATTTTAACCACTGTCAAATGTTTTTTCCGTAGTAGTGGTAGTTATGTTTTAACTGAATTTTTTTCCCAGTAACCAAATTAAACACTAAAAATTGAATTGTCAAGAGATAAAAACTAACCGAAAACCTGGAATAATCAAACTCAAAAGTCAAAATTGAATTCGGTTCAATTTGATTCCTAGTTACAGTCTGATTTTACTCAGCTCTACTTGAAGATGAGTATGTATATTTTTTACTAAAAAAAAGAAGAGAAAGATGAATATATTTTTAGAATCAAAACAGCGTTGGGGAAGGAAAAAGGGATAATCATATAATGTTGAAGCCTTTTGATTCAGATTTTGGGATGCTAGCTTTTGCCTTTCCCCCCTTTCGACCTGAGGATGCTTTGTTTTGATGCTCTGAAGCTCCTAATTAATCACTACATTAAGATTATTTTGATTTTTGAATAGCTCAAAGTTAATGGACATATGAGGTCAAGAAATTAATCATCAAGTTGCATCATGAGCTTAATATTAAATCGAGTGGTAGGATCAAAGTATAATCTGACTAAATCTTGAAGTCTATGTTGACAAAAATATATCATCAATATTAAATATAAATTGTGTATTAAATTATAATAATATTTACATGAGTTATTAATGATTAATATGATTCATCCTTCAAGCTTTATATGGTGCATGCTGGTCAAAAAGTTTTATATGGTGCATGACTTCGTTGTGTGTGTATAATTAATCATTAATCATTTTGATCACCTATCTGCGTCCGGCTTCTCTCCACTGCCCTCTCCATTCGCAACCTCTCTTCAACCTTGAAACGACGGCGTTTCTTTCCCTGCAGCGAAGGATCTGTTTGACGTGTCAGTGACATAAATGTGGACGCTGTGACGCTTCTACCTGACAATAACACAACAAAATTTCCCTTTCTCCCTCTTTTCTTTAATTCTCTTAAATTGGTCTTTTACTAAAAAAATATTTCTCTCCTCATGGACGGGCATATGCTTCCCCGAGACAAAATATAACACTAGTTTCTTTTGGTTGTCTAGTGTTTTGGAGGTTGGAAAAATATTATTCTCCCGCCTCCGATCTACAACATAAGTTATTTTAACTAATTCATTAGCATAAAAAAATGATAAAAAATGCTAAAAATTTGTAAATATCAAATAAAAAATATCAACAAAAATTTATTGTCATTTGTAAGTTTAGTGTTGTCAACACCAAATAACATGTTATTAACAAATTTGATTTGGGCTTTAACAATTTTTAACCTTTTTTTTGGTCATTATTCCTATAAAAAAATAGTAGCTAACTCATTGAATCTATTCCAATTTGAAATCTTTTTTCAACTTCACTCATATTAAATGATGTTGTGAAAGAGGAAAAAAAAAAATACAAGGAGTTACTCTTTTAGTGTTTTATTTTGCCAATGACTATAAATAGCATCAATTAGAAACGTGGCTTTGTCTAATTTATAAGCTTTATTTTGAGTTTTGTCTAAATATTTTTTTAAAAAATTTGGTCCTTACTTGATTATATTTAGTGTTTTATTTTTTCTAATGACTATGAATAGCATTAATTAGAAAAATGGCTAATTATTTATGAGACAATGAGAGAATGACATAGTCTTCATTTTTTTTTATCATTTATTTATTTATTTATTTATTTTCTCTATCGATTACTCTCATAGTAAATGAGGATATATTTGAAAAAAAATACATTTTTAACCTATTTATTATTTTTAACTAATTTTAACTGTTTGTTTGTTAAACATGAATAAATTATTTGAAGCTTTTATATGCGACCGAAGGAAGCATATGACTGTCTAGCATTAATTGCAGGGTCAAAATTAACACATAAATATTAAAATACTCTTTAAATGACTTATATTTTGGACCAACTCATTCTCCTAAAACTGAGGGAGCCATCTAACCATCTGAATTGATTGAGTCAATAATTATTTTATATTACTTATTTGCTTTAAGAAGTGCTTGACATTTTTTCACAAAACGAGATAAACTCATTCATATATTTACTTCGTATACCGTAAAAGTACTTTTGAAATTATGATTTGATTTCTATCCAAACATCCCTTTAATTACAACTGTGTGGTAGTTTTTACTTTCTGTGGCAGGTAGGTCGTAAATGCTGAGAATTCCTTTAAAATCTGCTCAACCGTGAAGCCATGAACGAATGAATGAACGAAATTGTTGAAGGAAAAATGTGACGAAATGAGGTAACTTAACTTAAGATGAGTGCAAAAGAAATGAGGAAGCTTAGAACCGTGAAGGAGAAGAGAGTTCCCATAGTCAAAGCGAGCGTTCACATTTGTGTCCGTAGTTGATGTGTCATTTTAGAGTGAAAACGGTGTCTTGTTATGCCCAAGAGGAGAGAAGAGAAGAAGCCAAACTCTATGTATCAACACATGTCACCATGGTCATGGATCCACGAAGCTGCTGGCACTATGGTCCCGTTTGGTACGAAGTATTGAAAATGAGGGATTGGGATTGGGATTGCAATTGAAAAAATCATTAAAATAGTACTTAGTATGAATAATTGTTTGTTATATGGGATTAGGTATGCCCATAAAGGTGGGATTGGGGAATACCACTTCCCCCCATGGTATTCTCTAATCCCATATACATGGCTTTGACTAATCCCATATATCAAACAATCTCTTATACTAAACACTCTCTTAATAGATTTTTTCAATTGTAATCCCAATCTCAATCCCTCATTTTCAATGCTTTCTACCAAACGTAACCTATATGTATGCATTTATTGTCATTAAGCAAGGAGGGAAACCATTAGCACAGTGCCAAATCCAGATCCGTGCCTTCTGGGGTATGTTGCATTTTGACCTTTACTCTGGAGGGCACAACACGACAGAACGACCCTTGGGCTTTTTTCCCATACAATATGCATATTCAATTTCTACCTCTGATGTTATTAAGAGAATCAAAGCTAGTACTTGATGAGATCTAAGCAGCATACTCAAGAGCATCACTGAACGCAACTACCTTCAGCCATAAACATCCACTGAGCAATAGTAAAACAAGTTCTTCTATCTAACAGAAAGCCGTTCGAATGTCTCACCAGGAAGACAAGACAAAGGCAGCAAGTTAAGCTCTGCATTATAAGGACAGTCAGAGTTTATTTTTAAATTATTTCCTTCTGGAGGAGTCCATTGCACATTTGCCCTAAGAATGAGCCCATCCAGATTCTGGGAATTTACCTCTGAATGAATCCAACCATTGGCCTCCCATAACTCCCTAAGAAGTTTACCTGCTTGTTCGAAAGTGAAAAATGGGATCAGGTTTAATATTGTTAGGAATGAAAGTAAAAGAACTTCCAAACCAAGTCATCTTAGCCCGGTGGCATTTAAGAAAAGAATGATCCACCGTTTCTACACTGCCTTTGTAGATTAGTAGAGCTGGTAAAGCGGGCTGACAATGCAGATACGGGCCAGCCCGTCGCGATGCGAGCCGAATGCGGTGCGGGTCGAAGTAACCCATTTTTTAAAATCTATTATATAAGTATGAGTTAGGCTTAGTTTGAAATGTTGAAATTAGGTTCCGAGTCTTAAATTTGAGTAATGGGTTCTAATAAAAAAATGAGAATTAATTTATAATTTTAGAAGATATTTAAGAAAAACTAACGTATTTTTTATAAATAATTAATTTAACTAGTTTTCTTATTCAAATTAATTAAGTAAATCTTTTGTGTGTGTGTGTGTATGACTATATGAGAATCACATGTTCATCTAATCTTATGAAGCAGTGTATAGTAACGACAAATAGATATAAAAATAAAAGATGGACGGTGCTCTTTATATCACCATACACATATGTATGAAGTACTAAATTAATTATATATGTAATGATATGAATGAGATAATGTTCATATGAAATTTAAGAGTCAAAATCCTCTAACTATATTATATTATATAATGTATTAAAAAATCAGGAGAAGTAAACCAAAAAAAAAAGTGGGCTGGCCTGCGAGCGGCGGAGCTAGTCAAAAGCGATGCGGGCTACTCATAACGGGCTGGCAAAATACCAACCCAAACCCGCCTTTTTTGGCGGGCTAGGCCCGTATTACCGGCTCTATAGATTAGACAAACATCAGTGGGACTACAATTCCTTTTAGCAAGATTTTCAAAAGCAAGGAAAGCCTTAGAAATTAATCTCCACAAGAAATTTTTAATTTTTTAGGGAACCTTAATTTGTCAGACCTCTTGCCAAAATTTCCGATGGCTGTGATTGGATACAGAGGAAAATGAATCATATCTATGGAGAACATTCTGTTTTGCTAATTTGTACCTATCTTTTACTGCATAGCAACTTCTAGAACCACCAGTCCATATCCATTTATCATAACGATTATTATTAGCAACCACCGCATTAAGCATCGCATTTTTTTCCCCTTCATCAGTTATTACTGCTTGAAAAATAGACAAATTCTATCCAGAACCAAATCTCAAATCAGCAACACTTAGGTTCGCAAGAGACTTATTTAGGATCAAATTAAAACTCTAACTAATTCTCATATTTAGGAGCAAAATCAAGACCTTATATCTAGGAACCCGAAAAAGCAACTTGGATCAAATCTTCAACCTGTCACATCTATATTTATAAGTTCACAAAACAACACTAATTATGCATGGTTGGGCTACATGATACTCCTATTCATTAACAATTTGATGATTGTAATGTGCTTTGTTTGGGCGTTGAAGGACTGTAATATTCCGTCATACCTACTGTTTATTACAAAAATACAATAATTTTATGTAAGAAAAAATTAAATCAACATAAACAAACTATTGTCCTTGTACAGCTGTACACAAAATAAATTGATGTGGTTAAAAATATTTATTTATTTATTTTTGCAACTTTTACTTTTGGTCCTTCATCGTAATAATATTTCGTATGCATATCCGTTTGGGAAAATTCAGTGGGGGCCTATGAAGGCACAATCTACGGAGAGGCCACCCTTGGCGTGGGTGCAATCAATTTGGGCCAACGAAAATTTGATGTTTATGGGCCCATCGTGAGGCCCAACTTCAAAGTCCCCAACATGGTAGTGGGCCCACTCTCCCGGCCTAAGAAGATAATACTCTGAGTGCGCATGCTGGCCGTCCGATGTAGACAGCTCAAATCGAACGGGCTTGATGTTCCATCCGTGTACTTGATCCACATTACAAAGCCGTCGGCCCAATTTCTTTGTGGCCCGGCCCAATTGGAGTCTGAAATATAGGCCGTATCTCCCTTTTGGGAATTCAAATTCCACGTCACCTGCTACTTCCACCCACCACATTTGCTGAAGATATGCAATACTATTGATGATCTTGGGAGTAGTGGAGGGAAAGAGGATGGGAGAAGAAGTGGAGAGAATCCAAATCGAGGGAGGACGTCCTTGACATGAAAGCTCAGTTGCAAAAGATTATTCATCCAGAATTTAATGTCATGTTTGACATACGTTATTGTTTATTCGTCCAAGAAAAGTGTGAGGATTTGAAAAACAAGCAAACAGCAACGCCTTAAATGGCCGAATATCTTTTTAGAAATAAAAAACTTGAGAAATCAAAATTATACAAAGAACCTCATGATGTACAAAGTACTCTTTTAGTCCTATTTATAAAATAAAAGAAAACATTTTTAGTTCTATTCATAGGGCATTAAGAGATTTTTTATATGGATGTATAATTTTATCCCTCGTTTATTATTGTGTTAACTTTGTTTACATAAGGTATAATCTATATTAAATAAGAATCAAGATTATTAATGCAATTGATAAGGATTTGATTATCAGACTCAAATTGAATATCCTGAAGATTATTTTCAACAGCGTACTCAAGAGCATCACTGAGCGCGGCTACCTTCAGCCGTTAACGCCTATTGAGCAATAGTAAAACGAGTTCTTCTATCTAATAGAAAGCCATTTGAATCTCTCACCAGGAAGACAAGACAAAGACAGCCAAGTTAAGCTCTGCATCATAAGCACAGTCGGAGTTTATTTTTAAATTACTCCTCCGTCTGGATTCTAGGAATTTTTCTCTGACTGAATCCATCCATTGGCCTCCCACGACTCCCTAAGAAGTTTATCTGCTTGCTCGAAGGTGGAAAATGGGATCAGGATCAATATTGTTAGGAATGAAAGTAAAAGACCTTCCAAATCAAGTCATCTTGGCCCAGTGGCATTTAAGAAAAAGATGATCCAACGTTTCTACACTGCTTTTGTAGATTAGACAAACATCAGTGGGACTACAATTCCTTTTAGCAAGATTTTCAAAAGTAGGGAAAGCCTTGGAAATTAATCTCCACAAGAAATTTTTAAATTTTTAGGGAACCTTAATTTGCCAGACTTCTTGCCAAAATTTCCTATGGCTGTCATTGGATACAGAGGGAAATGAATCATACCTATGGAGAACATCCTGTTTTGCTAATTTGTCCCCATCTTTTACTGCATAGTAACTTCTAGAACCACCAGTCCATATCCATTTATCTTGACGATTATTACTAGTAACCACCGCATTAAGAATTGCAATTTTTTTCCCTTCATTAATATAATGATTACTCCTTGAAAAGTAGACAAATTCCATCCAGAACCAAGTCTGAAATCAGCAACAGTTAAGTTTGCAAGAGACTCATTTACGATCAAATTAAAACTCCAACTAACTCTTATATTTAGAAATAAAGATTGTAGTTAATAAAAGGACCAGAAAAAGTAACTAGGATCAAATCTTTTACCTGTCACATCTATATTTAGAAGCTCACAAAACAACACTGATTATGCATGGTTAGGCTCTATGATACTTCTATTCATTAACAATTTGATGACTTTGTTTGGGTGGTGAAGTACTGTAAATATTCCGTCATACCTACTGTTTACTACAAAAATACAATAATTTTATTTAAAAAAATTAAATCAACATAAACAAACTATTGTCCTTGTACAGCTGTGCACAAAATACATTGATGTGGTTAAAAATATTTATTTATTTATTTTTGCCACTTTTACTTTTGGTCCTTCATCGTAATAATAGTATTTCGTATGCATATCCGTTTGGGAAAATTCAGTGGGGCCTATGAAGGCACAATCTACGGAGAGGCCACCCTTGGCGTGGGTGCAATCAATTTGGGCCAACGAAAATTTGATGTTTATGGGCCCATCGTGAGGCCCAACTTCAAAGTCCCCAACATGGTAGTGGGCCCACTCTCCCGGCCTAAGAAGATAATACTCTGAGTGCGCATGCTGGCCGTCCGATGTAGACAGCTCAAATCGAACGGGCTTGATGTTCCATCCGTGTACTTGATCCACATTACAAAGCCGTCGGCCCAATTTCTTTGTGGCCCGGCCCAATTGGAGTCTGAAATATAGGCCGTATCTCCCTTTTGGGAATTCAAATTCCACGTCACCTGCTACTTCCACCCACCACATTTGCTGAAGATATGCAATACTATTGAACCTGCACCATAAATAAAAAAAATTCCAATTATTTTCGGCCATTTTTTGTAAATAAAAATTAATGTTCTTATGGTGTTTTAATAGTTTGATAATTGAATTAAATTTCCCATTTTAAAAAAATTTATATTTAATGATAAAGGATAACTTAAAAAAATATTTAAATCATAAAAGGCTTAAATGATTAATTACAAATTTTTAAATTATGAGGGGTTATAACATAAATTTTTGACCTATTAAGATACTCACTCTTGAAAATTAAGTATTAATATATGAGTATGACAAAGTTGTTCGTCCTTATTAGTACATACTATAATAAATATTAAAAAAGATAAGTGCATAATTGTTTAGTTATTTTTGAAGACTAATTCAGTCACTCATAAGTTTTTTAGATTAAAAAAAACGCTAGTAATGCAAGAGCAAAATTGATTAAGTTACATTTGTTGTCCGACTATTCTTCAAAACTTCAAATTATTATGTGCTAGTTTATTTGCAATTTTTGCAAATTGTGTAATATAATAGGACATAAATAATCTCTCTAACTTTTCTTTGGCCAGCTAATTAACATCTCTAACTATACATTATGTATAATTTTATCACCAATAAGCATAATGTATTTTATTATTAATACAAATGATGCAAATACAATCAAGAGTCAAGGAAATAATGAGCGGTGACCTTTAATTAAGAGAATAATAAAACATTGAAAATTTGTGGGCTCATCATTAGATTTTGAGAGTCTTTGCAATGATCATTATAGAAGCTGGTGAAAAGGCAACAGGACAGAAGAAAACAGCAACTTTAGACTCACAGTAATCAGAAAGTTCAACCTTTAAACCATGTGTGTGTTTGTGTTCTCTTCTAAAAAGCCAAAATAATATTCTTCATATTGTCATTAACTATGATTATTTAAGACTAGTTTTTCTTAATTATATATTCTGAGCACATATATGATGATACACAGAAAAGCATACCCTCTCTGAAAATTGAAACAGAAATATTACCCGAGTAATATTAAGGCATACAATCAATCAAATTTGAACCTACTCAAATACCTTTAATAGTAGTAGTATATATTAAAAGTATTAAAATAAAATTAATTTGCAAGTGCTTATAATTTTATATGACTTTTAATTAGGTTTTTTATAGTTTTTTATTAGACATTTATTGTTTTGCCTGATTTTTTTTATCACCTTTTTATATATTTTTTTAATTAGTCACTTGAGACTATAAAAACCTGATTGATAATTTGATAAAACTATTGACCTGGCATAAATTAAAAAAAAATTATAGAAACATGATTAAAATTAGGTAAAATTATAAGGTTTTGATTAAAAAAATTACAGAAATTTGAGAAAAATCAAATGCAACTATAGAAATCTACATAATAATTTTTCATTGTATTAAAATGAAGGAAAAATGAGAAAAATATGATAAATTTTAAAAACACAATTAGGTCATCTAACTATTCTTGTATTAGTTTTGACAAGTTAAAATCACCTATTTATAATTTTAAAATTCAACAAATATTTTATTATTTTTCCTAAAATGAATTCTATTTTTCTGAAATACAAGTCATTTTCTAGCTGTCATAATATATCCCAAAATATTAGCTAACAAACATAGATTTGATGCCTGAACTCATAACACAAACATTTTTCCACACTTAAAGAAATAAATCATATATTTTTCTGGCAATAATTTATAATATTAAAGATTTAATTTGGTGATAGCAAGCGTTGTTATAACTTGTTCCATCATGCAGCGTGATTATTGGAAAAAGCCTTGAAGGTTTTAGAATGCAAAAGCAGAATCGTGTGAGTTTAGCCTTTCCCCTTGTTCAATAAAGTTATATAAATAGTGAAATATTACTGTTTCTTCCGTCAAACGATGTTTCAACTTTTTTGGAAGATACTAAGAGATGAAAAAGACTTAAAAATATAATAAACTGAAATTTAATCTGGACCACTAAATTATACAACTCATTAACTTCACCAAATATGAGGTAAAAAATTCTCGAGACGCAGCAATGGTCAGATATCAAAACAATATATTCATAAAGCAGGCAAATTCAACACAGGAACCACGTTCTAATCAAATAATTCAACACCAAAAAGCAAGTCAAGTTAATTAAATTAAAGAAATATTTTAAAAAAACAAAAAGGAAAAAAAAAAAAAACTGCATTTGCTGAGATAAATCTTGTCACCTGGATTCCTCGGTTGGAATATAATTCCAGTATCTTCTGTCATCTATTCCAGTAATCTTCATGGACTTGGCTGACATGAACAAACAAACTTGCCCACTCCCTCTATCCAACCACGCTTCCTAATACATTCCGGGCCAAAAAATAAACAAATAAAAACACATCAAAATCTAAAATAGCAGTAAGTGAAGGAAGGAAGAAGAAGATCTGTTTGAGACCATCAGTTTTCTAGCTTTAAATATAAATCTCATCATTATCGATATGTTATATGGTAAACAGTTGAAGAAATATCAGATCCGGTTCTTAAAATAGTGAAGTGGTGTGATAATGTTAGATTTTATGAGATGAGTGTGTGTGTGTAATTGTTCGAGAGAATCAAGTAGCTAGAAAGATAGCAGAAAGAAGATTGATGAGAAGAAGGCGATATGGATCTGCTTACTTTGGAACCAGAATGGAAGCGATTGGGTCGACAGAGAATGGAATAAATCTGTTTCTTAGTGAAGGAATTTTGGAGGTTTTGTTGATCATCATCATGATCATGGCCGCCAAGAACTTGATGGAGAAGAAACTTGTAGGAGGAAGGCAACTTGGACTCCCAGACGAAATCGGCAGAAGAAGCTCTGTGAAAGGCCTTGTTCACTCGGGCCA